GAGGGCCTCCCTTGTCAGCTCCGCTGCAGACCCACAGACCTGGTTGTTAAAACTGCCTATCTCATGATAGCCTGCATTTGCTTTTTCTGGTTAATCTTTAACTCTCCTTTGTACCCACTGAGAATAACTGTTCTTACTGATAACCCCTTTCTGATCCTTCTGATGGCTGTGTTCCCTAATTAACAGATACGAATTGCTGATACTCCTAGCATAATATTGGTGGATACATCCAGTACTCTGCTGCAACATTTTAAATGAAAAAGAATTTGTTTAAAGTATTTATTTCTTTTTTTTCTTTTTTTTTTTTTTTACCAAAGAAAGCAGACAGAATATCGTTCTCCATTAGACAGTCTTGTAAGAGGAAAATCAATAGAGGAAATTATGTTTGGTTAAAATATTGTGTTCAAAAAATGGGTAGATGTGGCACTTCGGGACATGGTTTAGTCTAGTCTACCCTTGATTGGCTTAGAGTAGACTTGGTAGTGTAGGTTACTGGTTGGACTGGATGATCTTAAAGGGCTTTTCCAACCTAAACGATTCTATGATTCTATGATTCTATGATTCTATTTATGCAGTTACATCACTCGGAGTTACAGGCATTTCTTCTAATTAATAACATCTTACACGTGCAATGCGAGAAGCCACATCTGACCATAACAATGGCACCACCTTTCAACTGGAATTTTATTGCCCAAGTCTTAGCAGTTATTCAAGTTGGCACTGGGTGATGAGTTTGCTCTTAAGCTTTTAACCTAATTCTCGTTGGCTTTCTGAGCTGTGTGACTCCACTGCCACCTGCAAGGCTTTACCCACCCACCTGTGCAATCACAGTCAGACCCCTCAGCTCCGGTGCAGCTCACACTGTGACTGTGGAGTCACATCTGGCTTCTTGCAGCTTTCTGGTGGTACGTATCTGTTTGGTTTTCACACTGTACACAGTCTGGTTCATCATGGTGGGACCAGCAAGCAGATGTTGGCCATGAGGATGTGAACAATAGGAGAAGCATTTTTCCCCAAACTTGTGAACTTAGACAGACAAATCACTGGGATGTGGAAGATTAGGACAGCACAGATATGGGAGATGCAAGTGTTCAAGGCCCTGGACCACTCCTCCTTGGATGGAATACTCAAGGTAGTCTCAAGGATCATGATGTACAACAGAACAAGCAACAGTGAGTGTGAAGCCATTGAAGAAAGAGCAAACACTTAAGCCATAAATGCTGCTCTCTCATAAATGTCACATAAATGTGACTGTGCCACACCGATGATATCCTGGTGTAGACAGGAAATAGGGTGAGAGATCAATTGCCCAGTGATATTGCAGCATCTTCAGGAGAAAGGAGGCTGGGAACACCAGAAGTACTGCCTGGATGGTCAACCCCATACCAGTCTTGGTGACCAGGGAGTTTGTCAGGAGGGTTGTATGCCTCAGGGGCTGCAGATCATCGCAAAGAAGTCAAAAGCTACAGCCATGAGCACAGCAGATTTGATGGTGGAGAAGGTGTGGATGAAATATGTCTAGTTGAGGTATGAGTCACAGTAGATGGCTTGGTAGTAAAACCCACACAGCCTGGGCTCCCACATCTCCAGCCTGTCACTGTCTGCTCTACTGGAAGACCCAAACTGGACCCAGTGCCCAGACATGGTCTCACCAGTGCTGAACTGGGAGGGAACCACTGCCCTGCACAGCCTGCGTTCCCCAGCACCCCCAAAGACCCAGCAGTGTCCACCTTCATGTCTCCTGGTGATGTCGGGGTAACTTGTACCCACCAGCACCCCAGGCCCTTTTCCACAGAGCTCCTTTCTAGCCAGACAGTCCTCATCTAGAACAAAAGCACCAATTAAAATGAAATTTAAAACAAAATCTGTGGCACACATCTATTCAGATGCAAGGCCATCTGTGGCAACAGCACACTACGTCCTCAAGCACTGTTTTTATTTGTGCTAATTATCGTTAATAATAACAACTGACTGTTATGGCTCAGCTGTATATTTGAACTCTGTGGGATCTACTTTCTAAGCAACCTCACATAATCCTCGAACCATTCTGATTTCAGTAAGATTATCAGCTCACAACCACTTCTATATGCAATCCTACTATCTCAGCCATCCCAAATACCTTTGATGCCCACCTACAGCCTCCTCGCCAGGAGCTGTGATCAGCATAAGTCACAGCTAGCAACCCTCTCATGGAAATACCTCCCCCACTTCAGCTGGGAGTCCCTCTGTTACATAAAGTGATTTTTTTTTTTTTTTCTTTTCTGGAATTTCCCACCACGGAACAACAAAAAAAAAAAGTCTCCTGCCAGGCTTGATCATCAGTCAGTTTTGAAAGCCTTTTTGTCAGAAGTGTGATATCCATCCTTCCCAGAGAGACAGACACATAGACAACCATTCATTGAACACCTAGCATTTCTAGCAGCACTCACAAAATTAATACAGCCGGCTGCTGTATTTTTCACCAAATCATACAGTTTACACCTGAAGTGGAGTTGAAATCTAAATACTCAGAGTTGAGTTTATTTTATAATCCATGAGAAAGTAAAAATGGAAAGGCTCAGGAGGCCAAATCGGCCAGTGATCAGATGACAGCAATTGGAGCTGTCTCACAGGCGACGTTGCTCTGGATGCATCCCAGCGCGATGTCCGTCCTCTCAGTATCACACCACCGTGAACGCTCTTCAGTTTATAAACACCGCCATAACCTCTCCAGTCTTGTCCGCTATCTACCCACGTTTCTCCCATCCTGAATGTGAATTTTATTCTATTTGTGGGGTCTTTTCAGACCATTCCTTCAATTTTTTCAAAATTACCCTGGGCACTAATCTTTCTTTTTTTCTGTGCTTCTGGAGAAGCTGTGGATTTAATGAAGATTTTCTTTACTCTGTTACCCAGGCTAATATAAGGTCCAGGATGCTCATTCAGATTCTCGCTTCATCTTTCTTTGCAGTAGCACAAGAAATGGGATTTGAAGCTTCCTCATAATGGTTCAAGCTCAGCAATATTCTCTGGCTCATTTATGAAAATATTATGTAATATGCATGCTAATTCATCTCAAAAATTAAGAGATATATTCTTTTCCCCTATGTACAAACTTTGCTACCCTTCCACAGAAGAGAAATGATCTGATTTATATTATTAGTATTTGACAAATTCATAAAAGTTTCTGCTTGTCTCATTATTTGCCAAAAAACATTATTTGATCATTAATTTGTGTATAAATTTTCTAGGGATTGTGACTAAATTTTCCTTAGAGTCTATACGCAAGAGTATGAACATTGCAGGGAATCCCTAACTGGTGAATTGCTGGCAGCTGGGGTTTTTCTGGGGGAGCATCACGAAGCTTGGTGGTACAAGGACCTGTGCCCTGTCCCAGGGGCGAGCAGCGCAGCCCAGACACCTCCAGGGTTTTAAACTGTGCATGACTCCAAAGACGGTGACCACGACCAGCCCAGCCCCTCTGGCCAAAGCTGCGCTGGGACGGTCCCTGCAGTTTGCTTCTACAGATTTTGCCTGTGCCAGCCCCCTTCGTGTACTTTCCTACCAGCCACTACTGGGGTGTTCAGACCTCCTTTTTTTCCATTTTTAAAGATTTTTTTTTTTTCTTTCTACCTTTTTCCAGGCTTCTGCTCTTTCCTGCCTCCCCATGGTATCTGAACAGCAGCAATGAGGTAAAATTGCTTTAGTAATCATAGAATCATAGAATCGTTTAGGTTGGAAAAGA